CCTGTGTTTTATAATTACATTATATATACTGTATATATATATATAAAATAAACTTTTTTCACAGTAAATCTTATTTATCTTGTTAAATCAGCTGTAGGTAATACTTACATTATGGCTCCTGCGGGGACAGTAAACCACACCAGCAGCTACAGCAGCCACCAGCAGAACAACAACAACAACTATTCCTGCTACAGCAGCTGAAGACAGACCTGAATCTGAAACAGATAAAAACAGTCATTATTACCAGAGAATGAATGACAATAATCCATCGAACAATATCTTCGACTGATATTTTCTACTTTGGTCATCAGTTGTAAATTGGATTCACTAATAAATGGCATCTTTTGTTGTTTTTAGCAAAAGAGGTAAACACAAAATCACTCTGTGAACTTGATTCAATTATACTGAACTTTCAAAACTCCTCAAAGAAGAATGAATTGATAGTGAATTGAAGTGATACAGAGCGTGCGCCTCATATTCGCGTACAGTTGAAGCGCGTGCGCTGTGAGCACATTAAACGTCTGACAGAACAGGGACGTTTGTTTTACTGACATATAACACCATCTCATCAGACCGCAGTTCACTGTTGTTCTACTGAAGCTCATTTGGCACCTGTACCTTTTCCGTGCTTGTTTGACTCATGCCTGGTGCTGAGGGCAAGCTGAAGTGCGCGTCTGAAAAGCCTCCTGTTTATTTGTGGTCATAAAGAGATACGGCCGTTCCGCGTCTTAATAAGTTTATAATAAATACATTTTTTGAACTCGTTTAAAACCGCAAAATAAAAAAAATTCATTACATTATTTTTTAACAACTAAGCTTTAGATTATTTATAACGTTTTATTAAAGAAGATTTTCACAGAATAATTTCGGCAAAATGGCGCCCCCTTATGTGCGGCGACCCTATGCACCGCATATAGCCTGCATATCCTGTTTTTGCGCCACTGGATATGGTGTACAGAGTGTGAATGAAAATTGAGTGTAATCTCAGTCGTCATATGCAAATCTCACAGTTATGAATGCCTCATTGTTGTTGTTCAAAGCACTGAATTAAAAAAAAAAATTGGAAAAAAAAACGAGGCCATTTGTATGTCTTTTTGTCGTTAACAGGTGTTAACCATCGAAATATGTGACCGTGCGCGCTGCTGTCACACTATAACCGTCTCTGCAGCGACTACCGCTTAATGTAGTGTTTAAATCTGTGTCTTTCTTGACACAGAAATCAATGCGAAAAAGAGATAGGATCAAATAAAGGTCTTACCATTGTCGAGAAAAATCAAGGTCACTGCAAGCAAATTAAAGAGAAACTTCATTTTCAGTATATTTTCCCCTCACGAATGCAGATTCTGATTCATAAATGCATTCTGTTCGTCTGCTTAGATGGCGTTGCAGTTATTTCAATAGAAAAAAAGTAAAACTAACAACCTGCGAGTCTCCTTGAAGATACACTGCAGAAAGTAACAATCTGAGATGGCAGAGGATAACAACTATATATTGTTATTTTCCAATCAAAAATGATAAATAATTGATTTATTGATCTAATTGGTCATGTTTAACATAGTTAGAGAGCTAATTTTGGAAAATGGTGTATGCTGTCTGAAAATGGGGCAACTTCCAAAATCTACAATTCCTCCCCTTCTACATAAAGTGGCTTTAAAAAATGTGTATCATTTTGTGACAACAGTTTACAGCCTTGCTGTTGTCTCTCCAGTGCACCTGCTGTCACTTTCATTTGCACCAAAGCGTGTTAAACTATTTCACAATCACTTATGATTCCTAATTGGACAAACTGATATCCCAGAAGTTTAATTGACTTGGTGTTACACTGTGACGATTAAGTGTTTTTTGAGCAGTGCATATCCACACCATAAAGAAAAAAAAATAGTCCACGTGGCTTTTCAAACGCTCTACACTACTCTGCAAAAGGTTATTCATTACCACATGCAGTGGTTATAGCTCGCTAAAACATTGGCTGTCAGTACTCATCTCAATATAGGTGAGAGTACATTCGTCTTTAGCCTTTTTCACAGAAATGTTTCATGTGATTGTCCTGTTCTGTTTGTGCAGGTGGCATCTGATTGGTAAGCTATCTATCTATCTATCTATCTATCTATCTATCTATCTATCTATCTATCTATCTATCTATCTATCTATCTATCTATCTATCTATCTATCTATATCACAGTATGTTTGTTCATCAGGTGTGTTTAGTGAGTCAGTGTCAGTGATGGAGGGAGATTCTGTCACGCTAAACACTGAATCTCAATTACATGAAGATGACGACATAGTGTGGCAATTTGGAGTTAAAACAGCATCACAGCACTGTGAACTCGACAGAAAACTGCATTCAACAGTTGTCAAACAATGTTAACAAGTGTAATAGTATGCATGTAGTAGTATGCATTTTCATGTTAAAAGCATAAGTCAAAGTGTTATTGTGTCAAAGCTCCTTTTTTAAACAGTCTACCACCCAACAGTATAATTGAGTTGATTAAAAAATATTGAACTGTTATTTAAAAAAAATCCACAAATGAAAATGCATTGAATGACTTAACTATATACTCACCAATAACGGCAACACTGAAGGTCCTAATGATACTGAATCTGCTGTTGCTATTCTGTAGTTCATATTCTCCAGAGTCTGTGGTTCTGGTGTTTGTGATGGTGAGATCACCAGTCTGATGATCCAGCTTTAGTCTGTCTCTGAATCTCTCTCTACACTGATCATCTGTACAGATCTTACTCTGATCTCCAGTGATTTCAGCAATGAGAGTGTCATTAAAATACCATCTCATCAGATCATTTGGGTTTTTTCTTTTACCAGGATGTAAAGTGACAGATTCGCCCTCCTTCATCTTTTTATTCATCTTATCTCGTTCAGCTGCAGAAACACCTGAAACACCTGAAACACAAACCCACAGCTGCTGGAGGATCTTTTTGGGTAATGCAATTGCACAAGCCTATTCTTGACTTTTGATCAAGAAAGAAACATTTCAGTTTTTTGCTCAAACATTATCAAATCCTCAATTTAAAGAGATATCTACTGCATGTGAATTAATACACAGATAAACAAAATAATTCTGAATATCATTGTAAAAAACAACAACAAAAAACACATAAAAACTGCATTTAAACATTCATTAATGACTCACCATCGACAGTAACATTGAATGTTTTTTCATTGTCGCTGCTTCTGATCTGTAGATCATATTCTCCAGAGTCTGTGATTGTGATGTTTGTGATGGTCAGAGATCCAGTCTGATGATCCACCTTCAGTCTGTCTCTGAATCTCTCTTTACACTGTTCATCTGTACAGATCTTACTCTGATCTCCAGTGATTTCAGCAATTTGAGTTTTATTGAAATACCACATAATCTCTTCTTCTTGTGCGGTTGTAACATTAGTGTGTAGAGTGACTGAATCTCCCTCCATCACTGACACTTCATCTGCCTCAACACCTGACACACCTGAAGAAAAAAATATAAGCCAGGCAAAAATGTGCAATAGTGCTGTGAAAATGTTTTTAGTTTATATCATACATTTTATGAGTAGAAATATGTGTGGATTCATAAAACAAAACTCATAAAAACAAACAGCAGAAAAACAGCATTGATTTACACATTCACTCATCAAACATATATGAATCACATGGATGTCCTTCAACAACACAGCACATAATACACATCCTGATTCATATTTTACCCCTTTCCCTATATGTGTGCATTCATATAATCAACCATTTCCATACACTATTTCATGAATATTACCCATAAATAAAAAAGTATGTTATTTTCCATCGCTTTAAGACTCAGATAATACAGTGCCATGTTTTTCTATACAATATAGTTGTTGTTTTTTTTTAGTCCGGTACTGTTGGCACCCTAACCATAATCTCATCACTTACACTAATCCTACAGTCACTAGAGCCTACCAATAATACACAGTCACAGAAATCAGTGTAGCAGCAGAAAAGTGATTTGAACAAATCTTACCATTGTGAAGAAAAAACAAGATCACTGTCAGCAAATTAAAGAGAAGCTTCATTTTCACCACTTTTCCCTTATGAACACAGTTTCTGATTCATAAAAGCGTTCTGTTTTTCTGCTCAGATGGCAACGCGGATGTTTCGCTAATTATAGTGAAAGTAATAACAGAGTTGCCCTGTAGAAGATAGAGCGATGACAGACGTCAGAACCGACGTCAGAACGCTATGCATATGCAAACATTATTTTCGCAATGTTGCTTTTGAAAAATATTGTATACATAAAGGTTACTTTTATCGCAAAAGTACATTACTTTGCTTATTCCTAACACCCAATCTGGAGTTTATTTTATTATTTTAAAGAATTTGAAGAGTTCTGTAAAGCAGTTTTAAATGATAGTATATTATTTGTATTTTTATTATTTATTTTTAATAATAAAACAAGGTAAAAATGAGAAAAATAAAACGTCTATATATCAAGTAGCATGACTAGTGTGAGAGTAGTCTTAAGGAAATTAAACATGAGTTTGGCATAATTACCTCTACCCAGTTGTTCAGGAAGACAGAGCTCAGGTGAAAAAGAAACAGGAAAAACCATGACAAGAGTCAATTTTGTATTATTTTTATTATTATCATTGTCCAATAAGCACCTATATTACAGGTCCTAAGTGACAGATCCTAAGT